AGAACGGCGAAGTTTTTCGCGTATGACCACGACCGCTGGACCATCTCCCGACCGACCTGCTTGAAGGTAAGCGATTCGGTGGTCGGTGAGATGGTGTACGACGGATCTACGCTGGCTGTGAACAGTCCAAACAGAGCGCCGACTCCGAAGCCGAGCACCGATGCGATGGTCGCTTTAAAAGGGCAACTTTCCAGAGCCATAGCCAGCGCTTTCTCTTCTGGTGACGGCTGAGGAATCGGAAAGGTTCGAGGAATGAACGGGGTGCGGCTCTCCCGTATCCGACGGAATCGGCCATCGCCGATCACCTGGTTCATGATTTGAAGATATATCGACGGCTGGAACTCGTCCCTTGAATCCATTCTCTTCGCCGCTAGCGCACTACCGACTACCGTATGCTGTATTTTTCATGATTGATCAACAGGTACATGAATGGCGGCAACCCCTGTTTCTCCGGAGGTTCCGAGATGCTTGAACACTTCATGTTGAACTATGCTGGTATAACTTTCAAGTTTTGTATTTGATTAGCAGTTTGTTTCGTTAGTTTGTCTTTCACTGTAAATTTTTTGCGCGATGTGCATAAGTGCTTCCATAACCTCAGGACTTACATGTTTTGACACCCAACATGCTTACTGTCATTGAATATTCATAGTGATTTGATATTCATTCACCCATTCCCTTTTTCTGCAGATAACAGGCTTATAAAACATTTTAAGTTCTTTAGCAAAATTGAATCGCGCACTTCTGACTTCACATAAATCTGTTCAAAAGATGTGCCATTAGTGGTACTATGTACCTAATTCTTGAACAGTATGGGTCTTAACGCCCGAGTGCGTTGTCACTCTAATAACTAGCGAAAGCAGATTTCACAGCATACCAGATTTTGTCTTGCTTTTCTTTTCTTAGTTATTTTAGTCTTCATGGTAAGTGACCGTCTGAGGTGCTAGATAAATTTCGCTCTTTACAGCAGTTGCATGTTAATTACAAACAGTTTCAAGGGATGGTGCTCGTTATATGCTGTCGTGTAAAAATTAAAGCACGGTTTCTTACCGTGAATAGGTCCTCAACGATCAGCACTACAGTACAGATGCTCAGCCGTCATTTAGCCATGACCTACTTAAATGGGGTATAAGTGGTCGGTTTCGAACTCCGCAAGTGCCGGCGAACGGTAATCTTTGTCATACTCACGAATTCCCATAAGCAAAGAATTCACCACAAATTGCTTCAGATCGGGTTCAGATTGCTTCAGATGCGTTGCTCAGTCGGTAGAATATCAGAATTGGAAGGTTCCGAGCTCGAACCGCACTGGGGGTCACTTTCCTTCCGTGGTTCTTGATGCATACCACTCTGTCGGAAGGAAATAGGAAACTGCACACCGTGCTAGTCACATTGTTGTTGTTGATTCTGCCTATAAAATAAGGCATTCCTAACAGATAACGTGAAAATGGAGATGAGCGCTAAATTCCTAAAAATAGTCGTTATAAATGGTTGCGTTCTGAACATGTAAAGATACCGACGTTCTAGCGGTTACAAACAAATCATTCTTTTCCTAAATGGTCCTATATTATTTTAATGCCTTTGAAGTATGAAAGTTCATGGTTTTTAGTGTTGACATCTTCTGTTCGTATATCCTTAATAACATTGTATATTTCTGATCGTAGGTTGCCTTATTTGCTTACATCTGAAATGATCATGATTGATCTGTTTTGTCGCAAATATGATGTGAAAACTTATTATTTCAGGGATTTATATCGGTGCCAATGTTCTTCCCGGTGACCCTGCTGTTGTCTTTCTTCGCATGGAGCGCATGCTCCCATGATACCGTTTCAGTTCTCGACAAGACCAGGTTTTCGCTGCCCCAGGAACGGAGGTGAATAAAGTCTTACATCCTGAAATTGTGCTACATATCCTTCGTGTATGTCAAAAATTTGTGAAATAGCGTTAGACTGCTTTGACTTGTATCTCACTTTTAGAGCATTGTGGCGTTGCGACTTGAAAGTTAGGATGGTGAGGATGAGGGAAGATGAGAAGCCAATAAAGAAAGTAGGATAGACACTGGAAAGGATGAAAAATGACAAGGCAAGGAGGAAGAGATAGTGAATAGAAAAAGCCTAAGAAAGCAAGGAGGAAAGGGCAAACAACAGGTTGAGCAACGATCGAAGAATCAGTTGATTTCGCACAGGCTTATCGATGACTGTGTATAGCGGTATATTGGAATGTTCTTTGCACTAGATTTTTTGTTTTATTTTTATTCTATGGCTACATTTCTGATAGCAGCGTGAATAGTATTTTTGCACTAATTTACTTACTGTACTTTCTATTTCTCTTTTATTTAATTTTGCTGTGTGTTTTGAAAGTAAGATTCATTTCATTATTGATCGGTATCGTATTGCAGTCAGTCTAACATTTGGACTCGCTGTAAGCTGATGGGTCTCATGCTCCTGTTCTCTAAGAAAACCATAAATATTCAAATTAGGATTTGATTCTTTGGAGACCGTAGTTTGGCAAAACGGTCATTATTACGGACTCTTTGTTAAGTTATAGTTTTGGCGGTTTTATTTCCGTACATATGCGAACTTGTAGCGTCATCTCTGGACGGTGTCACTGTTTTCCTAGAGGGCAGGCAGTGAGATGCATCATCATGCTATTTTGGTTCTTAGTTTTGTTAATTTTGCAACCCATCGTCTTCTGATTGTGACTGTAGAATTTCCTAGGTAGACTGTAGCAGCCCAAGGAGATCTATCGCTCCATACTTATTATGACTTCCTTAACTGACTGATGTCATCACAGTCCTTCACATCTATGGTGTGAGCTTGAGAGAATACTTGTCGTTGCTATACAGCTCGCCGTTTATGAAGTAGCTGCAGGTTGAATGGGTTGAAATTACACAGGAATGTTTTGTATGATAGAAGGCCCGTGTCTGCTTCTGTATGTTGCCTTAGGTTCATGTTCTCTTTCCTTTATGCAGATATTTGTTGTATGAAGTAAACATGGGCGAAGGCTTCAACCTGAGAAGAGACGTCTACATGCGTGTCGCCAGCCTGGTCAGACAACTACGGGACAGCGGTCACAATTACATTCTTGTTCTTCCTCCTTGGGGATCGTTATACCACTGGCGAACGTTGGAACTCGGTGAGCAGATCAAAATACCGTGGAGCCTCTGGTTCGACCTACAGAGCTTAAGCCGGTTTATCCCGGTGTTGGAGCTACAGGATTATTTAAGAGGTGTTCAATGACATAAGCTGGGTGCCGTTATACTTTAACTTTGTTCGGTTTTATAGAAGTTGATAGACCTGTCATCGACCAACTCTACCACTTGCAGCACTTTGCCGATTGGGATAAATGGGAGGAGAAGTACGATTTCATCCAGTGCCCCAAAATTCCGTACTTCCAGGCAACTCCTGGACATTGGAAAGGCTGGTTTTGGAAGTACGATGAAATCTATGCTTCCAATGTCACGTGCTTATCCGTCATGGGCTTCGCGAAAACACTCAAGCCTTTAGTATTATCTTCGTGGAATACATCTATAAGGTAAGTCTCATATCGTTTCAAGATTGTCAAGTGATCGCTCTGCCACCCCTCCTGTTTTCAAGAGTTAAACGCTATGATGCACTAAAGCTGACCACAGTTTATTACTTGGTGGAAAGGGGTACGAATATACCAGAGGGTGCCTTTTGCTTAAGCTTGTTTACCTTATAAGGCATAAAGATTATCTCAGCACAAAAACTGTTAGATCAATCTTCGTGCCTCTGTAATTGGCATATGGTAGAGGCTTAGGAACGTTGCCGCAATCTGACCCAAATAAATAGTATTTGTGAACAGTGCAACAAATGTGAACAGTACATTGTACAGTAATAGATGTTTTCTTTTTTTTTCAATATTGTTTCCATGTCTTTTGCCATTCTCTTTGTAGATATTTTAAAGTTGATTGTTTCAGATCGATAATGTTGGATCGGGCAGAAGTTATTTTGCATGACGAGTTTGGCAGTGCTGACTATTGGAAAGTGAGTTACAAAAGGCTGAGTAGAAGGTTAAGGACAAGTTTGCTTGCTGATGGATGCACAGTAGATATAATCTTTATTTTCCACACAATTCAGCGAAGATGTCGCGAGTATGCGAAAAAGGTTTATGCTGGCTTTACAAGTCCAAAAAGATTATCGGCGGGATTTGCGCATCCGAAAGGCAGTTGATTAGCTGCTTGGAACCATCTGATAACTACACGACTGTTTTTCATGGCTTACATGCTTACTATAGGTCTGTGCCGCAGTTCTTTGCGATTGGTTATGGGTTGTGTCTTCTCTTATTCGTAGTCTGTATGGACTGGATCAACTATCAGAAGCTATGCGCGGAAAACAGCACATCTGAAGATAATCAAGTGGGTCACCTATTGTTGCCTGTGCTGACGCAGTTGATTGGTTTGTTACTGCATACCATGCAGCCACTATGCAAATCAGCCTGACCAAAATCATGGCTTAGTTCAGCGAAACTGAAGCAGACGCAGAAGTTTGGCTGTCAGGGGAACGTTCGTACGGCAGTCGATAAATGGAGCCAGTCAGTACGAGAGGACCAAGAGTTTATCATCGTGAACAAGAACTGAACAGCAGCAGGAAGTCATATACCTTCAAATTTGTATATGCATCTACTCTTGCGTATGGCCATTACAACTGGATATTGATCGAAAGCGTGCGTTAAAATACCGTCAGGAAGAAATGAGGTTTCTTCGAAGAATTGCAGATGTAAGAGACTCAGCAAGCTTGAGAACACAACAATCCGAGATACTATCGTCTGTATGCCACTTCTACGGATTGAGACATCACAACTTTGGGTGTTTGGGCAAATGAATGGGATCCCGATGAAGGAACTCTCTTGGCGAAGTCACAAGATAAACTGCAGAATGTAAAACCGAATTGCAGCTGGTGATATTATATCGAGCAGTTGATTTTTTACCGAGCATATCGAGTTTGTCCGGATGAGTAGGTCATTAATATAATGATCGTCTGAAGCTGATGCTCTTGACACATCAAAATAATACTGGGCATTTAAAATTAGTGACTCAGTGGCTAACACTGTCTATCATACTGCAACAGACTAGAGAACGAAGTTTTATTTCCCTGTTTAGAAACCGCAGAATGTGCTCCAGTGCTTCATCGGGAACATTATTTGCTGAGCTTCACGGACGAAGTCTTCGCAAAGTTGTTGGAAAGAAAGAGCTGCAGAGCAGTTCACTCCAACATCCAAGAAAAGCAGTGTAACTCTCGCTCAGGCCGAAACACCTCTGACCGGTTCTTCGCCCCGCGTGAGGTTGTTAGGCAATGTTGAGAGTTCCCACATCCAGTTTACATGTGTCTTATGGAGCTGGAGAGAGCCCATGGCCAGATCCGTCGCTTGCAACAAGCTACGGGCGTATCTCCGGAAATACGAGACCTACTTGTTTCGAGGATCTTTCACAATCTTGTGTCATAAAGATGACATTATATCTCTGTTAGTAGTCTGCATACTCGCCCATCTACAAACTCATAGAGGTGAACAAATGTGGCTGAAACCAAGCGGTGTGACTACCTTCTCTCTCATATTTTTTTTCATTGAAATTGCCGTCAGTGTGTTTTCAGAGTTGTTCTGCATCATAGTCGTTTTTAGGCCAGACGGAGCATGCGCTATTCCGCGGCGTTGGTGAAAATTGCGGACGATTTCCGACGATCCGTATTAAATTCTACAGATGTTAACGATGGGACTGTGATGGACCCTGACTGGACGAAAGTGAAGGTCAGGTCGAAAACAAGCTTGGAATACTCTGTTCGTCATGAAGGTGCAGAGCTTAATCCCGAACGTTTCAGGTGCATCCAGGGCAAGCTACTGGAGGTCCATACATTGCCGTTCATTGGCGACGCCAAGATTACTTGATGGCACATGGCGATGAACTGCCCAGCATAGAAGGTACGGCCGCGACGCTCTCATCATTGGCTGAACGCCTAAATTTAAAGACGATATTTCTCGCGACCGATGCCAGTGACAAAGGTATTGCATTCTAAGACGTGGACATCTTGGGTGTTGCCACACTGTACTGTTTCATTCAGCCATATTCATAATATTCGTGTTTCGTCCTCGGTAGCTAGAGCATGAAACATTAACCGCTTTTTTAGTGGTTTGTTGTCGATATATAGTTTGAGACACAGTTATATTATAAGAGATTTCGTATCGTTAACGGTGCATCACAAGGTCGTACACTGATAGCGTTGCGGGTATTGTTCTACAGTAGCGCGTCCTGGCATAAGTAGTTTCTTTTCGAAAAGAAACCAGTTTCCTAAATGAATGCAGAATCAGGTAGCGTTTCGAAAGCTTCTTATGAACATACCCCATTGATAATGGTCAGACCAGCATTATGGCTGATATTAGTGAGCAGTTCATTTCCAATTTTACTAAGGAGTATCGTTCGGCATGATGCGAATAGAGTTGGTGGCTTTATCGACTTCTGTTTGCAGACTTATAAGTCGAGTCATACTTTCTTTAGGCACTAAGGTGACCCTTAATATTTCTGTCAGGGATTTTGATGAGAATACCCCTCTTAAACAAATTTAACTTAAACGCAGTAGATCAGTCAGCACTTTCTTATAGCTTTCTCGTTTTTCGATTGTTTGCTGTAATTGACAGATATTCCTGTTACGGTCTATGACGATTCGGCGCCGATCGATACCCATTATCAACGTCCAGTCTTCGGGCGTTAGTTTGAATAAATATAATTGTACCCTGGTCATCCCCATCAACTGCATTATCCACTCCGCCATGTTACATACCAGGAGAGGCTCTCCGCGAGGGCAACGTGAAACTTCTGTCTAATGATTATGTTATATATTGCATATAAAATTTTCTATATAAATAGTTGCTTCATATATCAGTTCGTTGTTCTAGAACAAACATTCGAATTTAAATTAAATTATATTAACAAATTTAAATTTTGTGAAATAATTGAGCAACAATTATCCGTTCCAACTCAGTTTTGGAAAGAAACAATCAACAAAAGTGTTCTCGCACATATAACATGAAAT